TTTTTCCTTTCTTTCAATCAAGCAGTATATAAATTTTAAGCAGAGGCTGGATGGTCATCTGCCATGGATGCTTTAGCTGAAATTCCTGCATTGCAGGGGGTTGGACTAGATGACTTTTGAAGTCCCTTCCAGCTCTAAGATTCTATGATTTTTTAATGAAATAATAAATAAATAACTAGAACCAAAGGCAACAGATCTGAGCTGTGAGAAGCTGTAGGGTGCGAAAGCTGTGTGGAACAGGTAGGGAGGTAACTCAGTCAATTATGCCTCCCCTTTTTTCTCACAAGTGTTTTAAATATTTCAGCTTGAGCTATAATCTGTGTTGATGGTTCCCTTTGATATCTCAATCATTCATTTGGAGCAGTTCAAAGAGACACCTTTTGATATGAGGCACAGTCAAAACCGCCAGAGTAAACTTCTTATCCCACTTCTGACTGAGGTTGTAACTGTGAGTAAGGCTCTACCAATTAGACAATGTTAGACAAACAGAAAGATTCTTTGGAGGATGCTAGATACCATAATTTAGGGAACTGATACTTGCCTGTAAGCTTACACATCTCAGTTTCTTTTATAAGCACCAGCCTCAGAGTGGGGCTTAAGCAGCTGATCACTGCATAGATAAGGCATTTGAATTTTGCACTCCTGTCCTCACAATTATGTGTTTAAAAGAAAATGCCCCCCCCCCCATTTTTCCAAGGCTTCTGTAATTACTTTTAGTTCAGGTTGATTTGCTATCTTCTTACAGGTAATGAAAGTCAGATGGGAAATTGCGAAACTTTAGCCTGAAGTCAATCACCTTGTTAATTCAGAAACCTTGAACACAAACTTCACTTGTGCATTTCATTCATCCCTGCTAAAGAAACAATGCTGGGAGAGCAGGATGAAAAGCGCCAGGAAGAAATGAAACAGGATCATTTAGGCAATAGCAACACCACCTGAAGGGACATAAAGGCAATAGAAAAGAAGGATGCTTTTGAATCACACACCCAAATACTGGAGTGAGCAATTCAAATGACAAGCCCCAGCAGAGCGCGCCATCCATGCCTACCTTTTAAAAATTGGCTGGGTCTGGGATCTGTCGTTTAAATTTCTCTCATTGGTCCTGATGCACTGTTGCTCCATGGTATTGTAGGTAATTAAAATAGCATCTCCAAAACCCAGCTACAGACCCTCCAAATGTCTCTATTTCCCAGGGACATTCCTGGATTTACAGAAGCCATCCCAGTTTCTGATTTGATCCCATAATGTCCTGCTTTTCCTTAGGATGTATGTCCCTATTTTCACTGGAGAAATGTTGGAGGGTATAGAGCTTTGTGACTCCTGAGCCAAGGAGACAAATAACTATACAACCTTTAGAAGACATCTGAAGGCAGCCCTGTATACAGAAGTTTTTTTTTAATGTTTCATGTTTTATTATAGCTTTTTATATATAGGAAGCCACCCAGAGTGGCTGGGCAACCCAGTGAGATGGGCAGGGTAAGTTGTTGGTGTTGTTGTTGAATAGGACGTCTTTATTTTCATCAGAGAAATGTTGGAGAGTCTGCAGCTACAGTGGTACCTCTAGATGCAAACGGGATCTGTTCCGGAGCCCCGTTCGCATCTAGAAGCAAACGTAACCAGCGATGGCATGTCTGCACATGTGTGTGACGTAATTTTGAGTGTCTGCGCATGCGCAAGCAGCGAAAACCGGAAGTAACACACTCCGTTACTTCTGCGTTGCCACGGAGCGCAACTCGAACATGCTCATCCCGAAGCACATTCAACCCGAGGTATGGCTGTATGCTGTTGCTGCCTGGTAAGCAAACTAGTGTCAGAGGTAGCCCATCAGAGGGCACAGTGTCAAAGCCTGCCTGGACTCTGCTTCTGTCAGCAGGCTAAGTAGAAAATATCCAGATGCAAACAGCACAATAATAAGGATAGAATCTACTGTTAAAGTGCTTCAAAAGAAAATATCTTGATAGTTTTGCTTTTAACATGGACGTTCAGAAAAACTGCCTGGATGGGGAATTCACGTTAAAATATTCATTACTGTGGTTTAGTACATGTTAAATATTTGCAAAATTAAATATTCATACCTTGGCTTCCCTGGTTGTGATTCTATCCTGGGTATAGTTGTGGGCGACCTTGCTCATTAAGGGTTCCCCAAAGTTTCAGAGGGGGAGCTGCTTACAGCATACCTATTGCTGCTTCCTTCCTTTACTTGCAGGTGCTTGGTTTATTTTCAGCGGCAGTCCCATTAATTGGAAGAAATGTTAATGGTGTCATGTTGCTTGGCTGGGAAGAATATGAGAACAAATCCCACTCATGCGCCCATAACAGAATGGATCAAAGACTCTGAAATATTTAATTTGGGGGAGCAAAAGTTAATGGGATGCAATGTAGTATACAACCAGCACAGCAGGCTCTCCCATTCTCTGACCCAGAAGGAATCTTCTTTCAGGAAATGTAAACAAAGAAGAGCAAGAGATCTTGGAACACTTTGTGATAGTGCAAACGTTTCTGAGCAGTAAGTGACATCAAAAGAGAGTCTGTGTGCTTCAAGGAGACACACAGAGCTGGAGATTGAATTTAGCAGCATTATTAATTGGGCTGAGTATCCTGAGAAATGAACTGCAAGTGCACCTCAGTTCCTGCAGTCCTAGGTTTCATTTACGGTGCAGATCACAGTACTCTTGTGGCACTGCTGTGCACATGAGGTACACATGAGATTGTCTGAGGAGCAGCTGCATAGCTTCCTCCACTCTCACACAAAAAGAGGGAGGGGAAATGGGGCCATACAGGCAAGCTCAGAGCAAAGCAGCTGCACAGAATTGCTGTAATGTAGGAACTACCGTATTTTTCGCTCCACAAGACACACTTTTTTCCTCTTAAAAACTAAGGGGAAATGTCTGTGCGTCTTATGGAGTGAATGTGTGGTCCCTGGAGCTAAATTGCCGGAGTGCGGCACGCTCCTGAGCTGCTCTTTGGGGCTGGCGGGGGAAACCCGGGTGTCGGCAGAGCAGCCGGGGATTCCCCCTCCAGCCCTGACAAGCTCTTGCTTAGCTGCGCGCAGCTTCCCCGGCCGGGAGAGGCTGCACGCGGCTATCCCATAAGCCAGGACAGCAAGCGGGATTGCTGTGCAGCGATCCTGCTTGCTGTCCTGGCTTCTGGGATTCAGAACATTTTTTTCTTGTTTTCCTCTTCCAAAAACTAGGTGCGTCTTATGGTCTGGTGCGTCTTATAGAGCGAAAAATACAGTAGCTTAGATTTGGCAGGAGCTTCTGCAATATGGTACACATGAGAGGGCAGAGGCACTCTGTGAAGTGTTGTGGTGATGACTAGTCATGGCTGGCAGTCTGCCACTTTTGGTTTCACTCATTTTCCCATGTCTAAATAAGTTCAGCCCTCCTCATTTCCACATCAGCTTGCATTAAAAATAAAAAAAATCCTTGTGAAAATTGACCAGCATTTTAGCGTGACTTTCTCCTAAACATGCTAGTTTCTAGCAATTTTGTCTTATACATTTCTGAAAAGCATTTTCAACACATTTCTGTATGCCATTTTCACTAGCATTTGCTGAGATAATGTGCAGTTCTCCCAGAATGGCTGCAAACAGCTGTAGAACCAGTGAGAGATTTTAGAATTTTGACTTAGAAGGAAATGGAAGGAGAAAAAAAAGGTATGTTAAGGCACCACAAAGCTCAGATGTGTTGTTAGCATCCATCTGTCTCAGAAGACAATGGAGTTGTGCACCTTTGGGGGTGGTCAAACTGTTGGGATGTTGCAGTGTCTGCTGTGGCTGTAGAGACTGATAAGGGAGAGACATGCTATGTTGCAGCTGGGGCAGATGAAGGTGTCCGGTTGTGCTGATGCAGATACACCATGTCATTTCTTCTCTCTGTGCTCCTCCCAGCAGTCATTCATCCTCTGCTCACAGCTATGAATGCATGACCTGTCTGTCTCCAGGCACTGCAGTCGTTTGCAAGGGATTTCCACATAGCGGTATTGATGTTGCCAGCCTTCATGCCATGTTATCAGACATCTTTGTAACACAAAGTTTGTTGCTGAGACAGGTGTGCAAACATGCTGGAAATGTGGACTTGAGAGAGCACATATTTGTTTGAATCATAGAATCATAGAGTTGGAAGAGACCACAAGGGCCATCGAGTCCAACCCCCTGCCAAGCAGGAAACACCATCAGAGCACTCCTGACATATGGTTGTCAAGCCTCTGCTTAAAGACCTCCAAAGAAGGAGACTCCACCACACTCCTTGGCAGCAAATTCCACTGTCGAACAGCTCTTACTGTCAGGAAGTTCTTCCTAATGTTTAGGTGGAATCTTCTTTCTTGTAGTTTGCATTCATTGCTCCATGTCCGCTTCTCTGGAGCAGCAGAAAACAACCTTTCTCCCTCCTCTATGTGACATCCTTTTATATATTTGAACATGGCTATCATATCACCCCTTAACCTCCTCTTCTCCAGGCTAAACATGCCCAGCTCCCTTAGCTGTTCCTCATAAGGCATCGTTTCCAGGCCTTTGACCATTTTGGTTGCCCTCCTCTGGACACGTTCCAGTTTGTCAGTGTCCTTCTTGAACTGTGGTGCCCAGAACTGGACACAGTACTCCAGGTGAGGTCTGACCAGAGCAGAATACAGTGGCACTATTACTTCCCTTGACCTAGATGCTATACTCCTATTGACGCAGCCCAGAATTGCATTGGCTTTTTTAGCTGCCGCGTCACACTGTTGGCTCATGTCAAGTTTGTGGTCAACCAAGACTCCTAGATCCTTTTCACAGTTGTGTTGAAATTTAGAGACTACCTTGACATTTTGCATTCACAGGTTATTGGTCTGGGAATATATGCTCTTATTTGTTTGTGTGTTTGACTGGTTTGGGTGTTAAAAGTAAAAAACCGATCTAGGCATTCTCTCAGTCAATAGGTACAGTAGTAAAAGTCACAGCTTAATAAAATACCTGTCTTTCTTCAAGGCTTTGGTGCTTATTACACACACACACACACACACACACAGAGAGAGAGAGAGAGAGAGAGAGAGAGAGAGTTGCATTTCACCCCAATCTCTGAGCAGTGTGAGATTCCAGGAGTTTCAAGCGCTTAAGCCAGGGTTCACATTTTCTTTTGGAATGAGATTCCAGCAGAAATCAGGCATGTCTCTCTCTCTCTCTCTCTCTCTCTCTCTCTCTCTCTGCCTTTCCAGTCTGCCGCTTTGCCTCCAGTTTCGTGTGCGTGTGTGCGTGTGTGCGTGTGTGTGCATTAGTCTGGGAAGTGCAGATCAGATCAGCTTGTATCAGAATCTGCAAAACCAACATTTCTCAGGTATCTGTAAGAGGGAACAACTTTGTCCCCAAATCTGTTATTGACATACAAAGTCAGTGTTCTCATGCATGAGTTAAAAACCTTTCACAATCAGAAAGATTACTTAAATCCTGGCTGCTGGTTAAATTTTCTCTCCCCTCCCTCCCCTCCAGCTCTGCTTGTTCTTTCTATTTGTGCAAGAAGCATCTGAGCTCACAAACCTAATGAAGACCAAGTCTAAGGCCAGGCTCCACTCGCTTGCTCTTTTGGTCCTTTCCCCTCTATGGGGTAATGTTCTGGCTGTGTTCTTCACCACTTTTCTCCTGACCTTGCTAAGCTGCTGCTTGCCCAAGGCCCAGTGTGGATGATGAACCTCAAAGGAGAGCCATGTGATGAAAGAGGCAGAAGGGGAAAAAAAATTCTGAATCTCAGCAGAAGCATATTTCAATCATCCTGGAAGGTCATTGGCTGCATCTCCAACCTTCTCTTTCAAAAGGTTCATGTTAAATGCACCGTGTAATGTGATAAGGAAGTTAGAGGTATGCTGGGGAAGCAAAGAAACCTTATTCCAATAGCCTGAACAGCAGATTGCAAAGCTGAAAAAGCAAAAAAGATTAAAAATAATAATCAAGGTGTAAAATCACATCTCCCGGATAAGGCCACAAGAAATGTTTGATGGGGATGGATCTACAATGAGGAAAGCTTTGATGTTGTCGATGCTTAGTGATGATATGTGTGTGTGCACACCCAGGGACAAAATTACCTTCAGCTGTAGCCATCATGTAGGCTTTGTGTTCCTGTGAAAGCCTGGTTTGGGAACCACTGTGCTTTGAATTAATATATCATGTATCATATTCATTAGACTTCATGAACATGCTGAAACCTTCACATCAAAGCCCTTTCAAAGTCAAATCTGACTTATAAAATAACAAACTTAGTTCACTCTATAATAATCATAACATTGTATTGTGCTTAAATACTATTCTATTATTCTATTCATATGTGCGCCCACCTTTTGTGCACATTTGTTTCTGCTAAGATTTCCATTGGATTTAATGCCATTTTTCTTATTCCCCAGCCATTCTTATCACAGATTGTCAGAGAGTGTTGATAATACTACTCCTTCAGCTTTGGTGGCAGCCATTAGCCCCTTTTCATTTTTTAAAAAAATCTTAATTTATCTTTGTCATATTTTGACTTTAGAAGGCTTGTAAGAAGTTTGGTTGAAGCAGGCCTCCTTTCACAATCTCTTTTGCTCTGCGAGTATAAATTTTGCAAAAGGTTAGCTGCCCCTCAGTAATGCCTTGCACTTAGACACGGAGCAAAACAAAGACTATAATTGCTAAAGTTTGCAAAGAAGTGCAGAGCACTGCCTGTTTTTGCAGCTTGTTCCAAAATCAAACAATGATTGATGAGACGCAACACGATGGCTTCATATGCGAAAAGGGCATGTTAAATGCCATCATAAAGCTGAACTTTGGTATTAGAAAGGACTCACTGAAATGAGAAAACTGTATATTTATGTTCTGTCAGCTGAAAAGCATTAGATGGCACCTAACGCCACGAACTGTTTTGACACATTCTGATCTGCCGGAATTCATGATGGGCACAAATTCTGGGTAATAACCCAACCTTATTAGAATACAAAAGCAGCGAAACAGAGATTAAAGGAGGGCAGGAAAAAGGCTATATAATGTCAACAACTTGATTCAGCGTCTGGAGTAAGTGTCTAATGATGGCAATTTGAGAAACAAATTAAGAAGATATGAATCTAAACTGTCAATGAATAACAAAAGCCAGTGTGAAAAGGGATGTCTGGTAGTACTGGGGTAGATTTCCAGAAGGATGTGTTTGTACGAACGCAGAGAGTTTTCTTCAGCTGGTTGCCAAACTCCACAGGAACACATGAGTTAAAGAGCAGAAGGCGGCATTCCCTATCACTTGCACTGGGCCTCAAAGAACTTTACAAACCAGTGAGATATTTTTACTGTTTTGTCATGTCTCTATAGCTCAGTGCAACCCTAAAACCATTCCACTTAGAGCAGGGGTCAGCCACTGGCGGAGGAAGAGGAGTGCGGGGGGAGCACACCGCCCCCGGCAGCGCGATCCCAGCAGGGTGCAATCGCAGCTGCCCCCCGCCTGCACTGGGTGCCCCGCCCCCGCAAGCGGCGCATCCTGCCCCCGGGATGAGTGCCACGTCCTGCGGACGGTACGCCACACCTCCAGGACGTGCGCCATGCCCCTGAGGGCAGCGTGCCCCCGCCTGCTCTCTGGTCCCCAGTGCATGACGCTCTGCCACTGGGGTCAGCAACCTTTTTCAGCTGTGAACCGGTCCACTGTCCCTCAGACCATGTGGTGGGCCAGACTATATTCTGAAAAATATATATGAACGAATTCCTATGCCCCACAAATAACCCAGAGATGCATTTTAAATAAAAGGACACATTCTACTCATGTAAAAACACGCTGATTCCTGGACCATCCGCGGGTCGGATTTAGAAGGTGATTGGGCCTTAGGTTGGGCCTTAGGTTACCTACCCATCTTAGAACCTAATAAAAAGCCAGGTAGGTGTAGTGGTTAGAGTCCTGGTTCCCAATGGGGGGCACATGCCCCACAGGGGGCAATTTGATTTTTAAGGGGAGCAATTTGAGAATGAGTTATTAACAGTGAATGGCCTTTTAGGCTTCCTCCACGTGAATAGGAGTTCACCTTTTGAATAATAAAAATTATATGTCACGGGGGGGGGGGGTCAGGATTTTATAGATGCTTAGGTGGGGCATGGTCAAAAAAAGGTTGGGAACCACTGGGTTAGAGTGCTGGACTAGGGCTTTGGAGGCCCTATTTGGACATTACTCCAGTTTGGCTATTATGCCAATTATTAAAAACAACAGTATAAAAAGGCACTAAAATGGCTAAACAGAGGAGAAGGTTAAAATACTGGTTTCACACTACCCCTCCCCTTAAAACGCCTGTGGGCACTTAAGGGCAACTCTTTTCCTTTCATGTTCATAGCTGTGAGATCATAACAACCTACCTTGTTCTTAGATTTTATTTTATTATATTTGACAATTTTGTAAAGGATATAAGGCTATTATTGGCTACTAGCCATGCTGGTTATGTTCCCCCTCGCCTGTCAGAGGCAGTGTGCCTCTGAATGCCACTTTCGGGGAATCCCAAGTGGGGTGAGGGATGCTGGTTTTAAGTCATGCTCAATGGCTTAATCCAAGAGGGCTGTTCTTACATTCTTACCTCCCTAGGCAGCTACGAAGGAAAAGGTAATAAAGACTTACAAAGCATTTTGCTAAATTTTTAAAGTGCAAAATAAATTATTGCTAGTAGTAACCACTTTACTTGTATATGAGAGCACTCTGTCTCAACCAGTATTAGAGACCCTGACAGGAACCAATGTGATCATAATTATTTGAAATGGACTTCTATTGTCTTCCTTCGCAGTGACACAGTTCAGAATTCGGTTGTATTACTTTCATCTTCTCTGTTATTTATTCGAATTAGAATGCAGCTTGCTCAACATTTTTTGGAGTTTAATACCACCGATTTCTGGGGATTATTACGATTTATATGGCAGCACATAGAAATTCAAATCGGGGGTGTCTGACAACCTCACAATTTTCTCTCACAGCGTGGCACAAATGTGACACTTTCCAATAACATTCTTTATTTGTACATCGATAATGATACTGCCTTAAATTTATCTTTACAATCTGTATCAACAGCTCAACACATTAAAAGAAGAAGAAAGAATACATTTTATTTATGCTTTCATAATGCTTTCATGTTCTCTGTGGGCTGGTTTGGATGTAGCCATAGTTTAGTGTTATGAGAATAAGCCTAGTCCTCTGTACTCACTGTCCTCTACTGGTACAGCCACAAAGAAGATGTTGGAAGCTTTTGCTTTTTTAAACTGCACTTGCCATATCATCTGAATTCATAAAAGCTGTGGCTAATTAATTATGGTTTGTTGAAATAGGTCAACTTTAAAACATAGCTGATGAAGCAGACTTGTTTTTATCAAGGAAAATAATAATAATAATAATAATAATAATAATAATAATAATAATAATATCATCTTTATTGTCATTGCCCCCCCTTCGGGGACAACGAAATTACTTGACTGCTCCATAAAAACACTAATTAATCAATACAGTATAATACAGCAAGGGAGATTAGATGACTTTCAAAGTCCGGGCTTCCCATTCAGGGCCGAGATCGCTCTGGAGAAGAAGCTGTTCTTAAGACGGCTCGTTCTTGTCTTCATCGTCCTGTATCTCCGTCCCGACGGCAAGAGCTCGAAGAGACAGTGACCAGGATGCGATGGATCTTTTACTATGTCCAGTGCCTTCCTATGGCACCTTGTGGCATAAATCTGCTCTAAGGTGGAGAGTGGGCAGCCAACAATGCTCTCTGCTGCCTTAACAACCCTGCACAACCCCATCCTGTCCTGGGTAGTACAGCCTCATTTTAGGGTTTGGGTGATATACTAAACTGTGGTTAATCCAAAACTCAAGCAGATGCTTCCAATGTCTTTGTGCCAGCCACACTGGGGAAGGAGAGGAGGACTGTGTGAGCCTGGGGGGAGCCTTGGCTCATTTTCATATTGATAAACATGGTATAGCAAACACAGCCATTGCCTTGAATCCATAGTTAACAAATCATTTAAAACATTTATACTAAAGCAGGGGTGGGAAGCAGTATCCGTCCCATCCCAGCAGGCCACTTTGACAGCTCATGTGACAATCACCTGACAGCATGAAGAAGAAGAAGAAGAAGAAGAGTTTGGATTTGATATCCCGCCTTTCACTCCCTTTAAGGAGTCTCAAAGCGGCTAACATTCTCCTTTCCCTTCCTCCCCCACAACAAACACTCTGTGAGGTGAGTGG